AAAAATTCAGCGCAGCCAGGCCGGGAATCCTCCTTAAAATCTAGGAAACCTGCAAATTTTTGGTAACTTGGGAGATCTGTCACATCACTAATACTTTCTTAAAATTCGGCTTTACCCTCTTTCATCTCTTGCGCGTGAACATCACCCAAGCGGAAACGTCGAGTGCGCGCGAGACCGACCAAGCTGCTTATTTCAAGACTTTATGTAAAACCAACAAAAACCAACGCCGATAAACTAAAGCCAATGTTGTAATCTAATCTAATCATATTTATTTATATAGCGCTTTTCTTTGATACGAAGCGCTTCTGTCCCTGGTCATTGGATCCACATGCTAAGTGTTGCTGCTGCTGCGCAGGAGCAAGCAACCCCACCAGGTACCCATTTATACTCCTGGGTGGAGAGAAGCAATGCAGATAAAGTGCCTTGCTCAAGGACACAAGCGAAATGCACAGCGAGGGATTGAAACCCCGACCTCGAGATATCAAACCTTTCACGCTGCGCCAAACCGCTTCCAATAACTTGCGTATCCCGTCTGAATGTGAAAGGAATGTCAAATTAAAATAGTATGTTGTTTTTCGTGGTTTTATGGTCCATATACGACACGGGACAAGTAAAACTTTTGGCGGACGACTTACATTTCTCGACCACCCATGCACCCTTAGTGTTTGACGGACCAACAATAATTTTCGGCGGACCACGGGTTGCGTAACACTGTTTTAGTAGACTCTAAAATCGAGTAAAGTTTGAAACACCTAATTTTTAAATACTTTTTCGAAGCTTCGCCCCCTCAACCACTTTCAAAAGATTTTGAGCGACGCCTGACCACACCTAACTTCGGAGACATTAACCCCGTCGGGCAAATTTTGGCACCACCACTATATTCATCGTGCTTGAGATATCTAACAGGGTAACTTCCACGCACCTCACCCATCAGGAGGCAGCATATGCAAGGATGTTGGCCATAATGACACTGACCACCCAACACGCCCAGCGTATCACCCCACGAACTATTAAACCCGGTATTCAACGTCCTGCTCCCGGGCAACTCCGGCCCGCCAAATATTTTGATCCGGCTCACGCAACATTGCTAAAATAAATCATTTTTCGGCTGATTTTTAGAAAAAAGTTTTTCTGTTTATAGAAATACCACCTAGGCACCCCTACTCATTGTTTACAAGAGTGAGGCTTTTTTTGAGTGTATGCTCACTGTATCAAGTGGAGAGTATATACGTGTGGAAAGGGAGACTATTAGGGATACATCTTTATCTTTTTTTTTATGATATTGCAATAAAGTTTCTCGTATCGAATAATGGTATTAAGTGGGAGGCAGACATTGCTTTGAAAACTTATTTTTGAGTCTGAAAGTGCATTTCCAGGAATCTAAAGGATATCTTAAAAATGTGCACACCTCAATGCCAACCACTGGTGAGTGTATATTTTTGTGGTAAGAAAATTTCTATTGGCAGGGACTAGGAGAACCTTGAGTGCATTTTTTTTAAATTCTAAAATAAAATGAAGAAGAAAAGAAAATTATGTTCAAATTTAAGTCTGAGAGTACCATATCCGACCAAGGCCATCGAGGTCCCATAATCATAAATTTTCTTAACTCAGCCCCAACCATGGTATTTATCCTCTATCTGTGAAAGTTCTTTCCTGGTCTCTTCTATTTCAAGTTCACCGCTATAAAAGAAAATGGGCGGGGCCGACACAGACAAAAATGGAAGCACACAATTTTATGTCGGCCCACCGCTGGTCTCAACAAATTGGAACTGGCCCCCAGCTTAAAAAGGTAAAGAATACCCGGGTATTAAATGAATGAGAGGCGATACTCAGCAACAATAATAATCCTGTATTCACTTGGTCATCAGGTATTCATTCTTTACTTAATTATTGTAATTTGTTAAATGTTTGGACAAACCCCAACTCACTTAGTGCATCTCAGCTAAAGGGTTATGTTATTGACAAATTACACGATGAATTTTGTTTTGGTTGGCTTAATGATATCACCAATAACCATTATAAAATGTGGACGTATTGTCTTTTTAAAACACATTTACCCATGAAAAGTATTGTAATTTCTTTGATATCGATACGCGTTGCAACGTTACTAAACTTACAACCCACTCCCTCATGACTGAGTGGGGGCGCCATACCACTCCAGTTACTCCTCTTCCTAACACAGTATGTGTACGGTACCTTCTGTGGTACAAATGAGATTGAAGATGAGTTTCATTTTCTTATAAAATGTTCTTTTTATTCTGATTTTTGTAATGAATTATTTAATTCAATTAGTGAAGGACAACATCAAATATTGATAATTTAAATGATTTTGATAAATTTGTCTTTTTAGTTGGTGCCCATGATTTTGATATTCTGCTTCCTGTTATTAAGTTTGTTAATCATGCTTTTAAGAGACGCAATATCTAATTTTCTTTTGTACTATTTACTTTTGTCCCTTGTTTTAAGTGTGATCTGCCTTGGAAGGTATTTTATTTATGTTTATATATTTACTTTAGGAACGCAACACATGCACCAAGGATTATGAATAAAAAATATCACTGTCGTACTTGTGGGTGAAAATCATTTACACAAGACAAACATACACACACACACACACACAATGCTTTACACATACTAAATCTCAATATGAGGTTTAGGGAGTGGAGTTGTTTTGGTCGTGTAAACAACAACACAAAGTACATATTACATCAAGGTCAGAGAGGAGTTGAATAGTTGGTGGTTAAGATGCTTGCTGGTTATCTTATAATAAACACGCTTTAGAAGACACTTTTATTATCGTACGTAGTACCGAGCGGGTTGTGTTCGGGCGTGACTACATCATCTCCCTCCCTACGCCAAGTACCCCGGTGGGGCCCGGGGGATGACTCCTGGTAAGTGTCCAGGGGGGCGAAGACGGCTGGGAGGTACCGCATTCTGGACGCTTTAGGACTGAAAATTGCAATAGACACATCATACATAATATTAGTAGGCCTAACAATAATTATAATAATAGTTACACAATAGTGGCGAATCCAGGAATTCGACAGAGAGGTGACCCAGGGAGGGACTTCCACAGATATAGGGTCGACCCACCATGGTTGTGCCTGAGGCGCGAAAATTTGAGGAAATTACCTCTAGATGGCCGGAAATGACACCTTTATATAGCAAAATTCATCATTATCAATTCACTCACCATTTTATATGTAGTCAAAAAAAAGTGCCAACAAATTTCTTATCATTTATCAAGGGATCTTCAGCAACCATAGAGATCTAATTAATATGTGAGATGTATCATAAAAAAATAAAACTTAAAAATATTGTCTGATGTACTGTATATTCTACTTTACATACTTCAAAGCTGCGAGTTCTCAACCCTTCAGCCCCACTTTAGTTGAGGCAAGAAAATTTGAGGAAAGAGTACCTCTAGATGGCCGGAAATGACACTTTTGTATAGTAAAATTCATCATCATCACATCATCATTATTTAGTAAAAATGAAGCGCCAACAAATTCCTCATGATGTTTTATCAGGGATTATCAATAAGCAGGTAGCCCAGGACAACTTAGGCCTGACTAAGCTTTAACTACAATAACAATATTAATGATTGGACAAATTAAACATTTCTTTTTCGCTTTTAGCACAATTTTCTTCAAAATATTATTAATATTATTACCCTAACTATTATGTCACCATCACTATCGTCATCCACATTATCATTACTACTACAGTAGCATTAAACTTCATAAAAGCTTGAAAAAGAATAAAAACAAAACTGACCAATACATTATCACATTTCTGTATCTTACAAGACCTGGCTTGGGACTCTTGGATTTAAGGCGAATTTAAGCTGATTTCATCCCCCTTAGCAGTAAAGCTGCTATATAATCCCGAAAATGCTATTTTTTTTGTTATCGTTTATTCCAATGAATCTTCCAGGGTTACTAACAGGGTAGCTTTTGACTTTTATTAATAATAAACGTTTTTTGTGGGTTTTATCAGAGCACAGGTCACAAATATATAAAATAGAAGAAGGAGTGAATTAGAAATTGTACAGCATTTAAATCATCGTCAAACTCCGTGTTTTTTTTTTTTGTTGTTTTTTTTTTTCTTTTTTTCTAATTTGCAATTACATAAAAGAGACATGTCGTCCTCGGAGTTGACTATCACTATCACATATTGTACGGTACGTCAGCAAAATGAGTTATATAAAACCATGTTCTATTTTTATTTTATTATTTTATTCTAATTTGCGTACACAATTCACGCTTAGGCGTATGTGTTGTAATTATAGTATTATGTATAACGTGTGTTGATCCATATTTACATATTTTAGAAGTAATTTAGAAGTTATCCTAGGAAAGAATTTGCTATCTATTAGCTAGCAAAAACAAACTTTAAAATACAGTGTACAAAGCTGTCTCTTATACACATCTAGATCCATACTCCCACGGCTCCCCCATGAACACGTCCCTGGTGAGATGTATTGTATTTCAAAAATCATGATTCACATTCCTATATCTAAACTTTGATTTAGCGCTCAAGTTTCTTATCCCCATAATAACAATTTTTCATTTCCTTACCAAGCTCAATGTAGGCCTACTGCAGTGATACGGTATTCAATATTGTTACAAATAAATAATATATAAATTGTGCTATAAACTAATTTAATGTTTCTTTTATTTTACGAAGATTAGTAAAGTTTTGATGTTACCAAATCTGTTTGATTCACATTTATATAATTTTTATACCTGTATGTTAAATGATTTTGTCTTTCTTGTTTTGCTTGATTTTTAGGAGACATAACAATAGTTGGATTCAATTCAATAAACATTAAAATTTGCTGTTTGAAATTTTATCTCATTTTTGTGCCACTAACTTTTGCTATTTATACCATTAGTACTTGATATGAATGAATAAAATGCAAAAATCTGCAGTGGCAATGCAGTGGCATAACAAACAGGCCTGGGGCCCATGGCTGAGGTTTCCTTAAGCCTACTAACTTGGGGTAAAGCAATGGTGTACGGCACAAAGCTTGCAATTTCAGAGCATTTTAAGGGCATATTTTTCATGTTTTTTAAAACAAAATAAAGTTGTCAAAATACAGTTGAGAGCATGCACCTATAAAAACCAATTAGAAGGTACAAATTCGGAATTAACTTTCTAGTTCTACTAATTTAAATAGTTCAATATTGTTAATATATCATACATCCATCTTCCATTTAGTAATAACCCATCAAGTAAAACAACAGGAAGGTCAGCAAAATATTAGGAACCTACTGTAGTTTATATTTGATCTACAATATTATTTATACACACACACACACACACACACATATATATATATAGTATAGAGTGTTCATGACATATATTGGTAATTTGTAAACAAAGTTGTCAAAACGCAGTTGAGAATAATGAAAGCCACAGTGTTAGGTTGCCAGTTTGTATTGGAGCTTGATGTACAATCAGCAACAGCTGTGGAAAAATCAAACAAAGTTTGTGACAGTCGGGACTCACAATACTTCAGTTTTACTTAACC